GTTAGTCTGTATTCGCAAAAAGAAAAGGAGTACTAGTGGCACCTTAGAGACTAACCAATTTATTTGAGCATTAGCTTTTATGAGCTACAGCTAAGAAGTGGGGGTTTTTTTACCCACGAAAGCTTATGCCCAAATAAATCTGTCAGTCTTTAAGGTGCCACCAGACTCCTCGTTATGTGAATGTAAATCCCCTATCTTATTTGCTTTCTTACTTTGTTTACTTTCGCTTAGGGAACCTTGATTTCTTTCTCTGTGACTCATTAGATCTCTGTGATGAGTATTGAGGTATGTACTGTGATGACCGGGGCTGAACGGCAGCTGAGGGCTGTATTTTTATCTTGTAGGCTGGTATGTATATCCCTAGGGAATGAAGGGTCACCCGAGAATCTTTCAAATGTGTGAAGGGACACACCTTTTTGGCAAACAGCTTCGTTCCCTCAAAGGGAAAGTCCTCCACCATGGTTTGGATCTCTTTAGAGAAGTCGGACAACTGTAGCCACTAAGCCCTTCTCATAACACAACCATGGAAATTGAATGTGCCGCCATGTCTGCCACATCTAATTCAGACTGGAGAGGCTTTTTCACCAACTGGTCCTCATTAATTGTGGCCATAAACTGGTCTCTGTGGGAGTCTGGGAGCTGATCAATAAAGGAACCTAGCTTAACATTGTTCTGGTAGTCATATACCAGGCCTTATTGGCCAAAATTAGCCAATCAGAACTGAAGAGTAGCTGATTAATACTTTTCTGCCGAACAGGTCCAAGCATTTTTCGGTCATATGGGGTGGATTTAAACTGGTATTTGCAAGTCCCTAGAATTAACCACATCCACAATGATAGAATTTAGAGGTGGGTGGGAAATAAAATGCATTTTGTGCAGGAGAAGGGCATGGAATTTTTAGTCTGCCCACTCGCATGTCAGCGGGATGGATGCAGGAGTCTGCCATATAACTCTGGCAAGATCCAACAGTGCCTCATTAACGGGAAGAACATCCACCAGTTTGTGGTAAGGCTCAGTCACTTCGTTCAGCTGTATTTGCAGGGCATCTGCCACTCTCTGAGCTGAGTCCTAAATTATTTAAAATCATCCACTATGGATAGTGGAGAGGGCATCACCGCATCATCAGGTTAGGATGATGAGAGATGAGCTTGAGGGGTGCCTTCCCTTTCAGCCTCAACTTCAACTTCCTCCCCCAGTTGCTTAGGAGGTTCTGAACTCTTTGATGCCGCAGCTGAAAGAGGGTGTGTCCTTGCCACACTAGGGGCCTGGGAGGCTTGTTGCCTTTGAGCCTGCCTGGGGCCCCAGTACAGCCATTGAGAATATGTGGCTGGCAGTCGTATCATAGTTGCCCAAACCATAGAGATTGAGGGGCGGGATGACGTAAGCCTGGTATCCATAATGAAATTGGGACCCATATGGCAGGTAGGACGAGCGGTGGGAACCTATATCTTCTCACTCACTATCTGACTCTGGTCTGATGAGAAGAAAAGTGGTGCATGACATGGATATCTCATGGAGTCTAATGCTCTGGGAGAACTTGGCACCGGAACCCTGGTACTGAGTAGTGGCGAGTCCAGCACTTTGGACACCAAGAGATCAGTTGCGCAGTGGAAATTCGATGGTGCGGACAACGTTGATGCCACTGGTTGTTGGTGCCAAGAGGCTTGTACTGACTGAGTCAGAGATGTGGACCTAGTCATATGGTTGGTGCCACGCACATTTGGGTTGGTGCCGGTGACAGCATCAATGTAGCCTTCCTCAGGGCAAATCTTCCATGCTTTTCATGCCCCCCGCGGTACTGGTACTTCTTTGCCAATGCCCATCGGGTCTTTGAACAGACTGATTTGCTCTGTTGGCTCAGTACCGCGCCTGCCCTCTAGATGGCTTCAGTGCTGTTGGTACCAATGACACCAATGGAGCCAGAAATCATTTCTGGCTCGATCAGGGCTCATTACGAGGACTCAGACATTTTCTTAGCGGTCTTGAATGAGTGACTCATCTCCTTGGGATCTCTCGCCTTCAACATAGAAGGTTGCGGTGATGGCTCTCATCAGGACTCTGGGGGCTGAAGGGCTGATTCCAGGAGCAGGAGTTTAAGCATTAACTCTGTCCTTCCTGGATCTGCTTTTAACTGCTGTCACCAACCACACTTCTTTGGATTGTGCTTTTTCCTCCAGGTAACGAACGCACTGCAAATGTCCATCTCTCACTGGGGTGGATTCTTTTCAGCTATGGCACTTTTTGAAGCCTGAAAAGCCAAGCATACCCTTGTCCAACTGGGTCTCTCTCTCTCACCCCCCACACCGGGGTTGGCAGGAGGCAACCATTTTCTACTTCCCCCCCGCCCCCACTTTTCTTTTTTTGGCACTGGGCAACTAAAAACAAACAAGGTACTAAAAGAAAAAGGTTGCAAGGGAAGCTAAAATTTGCAAAATATAGGGAGTTAACAATTCATGACTGGACAGCTCTTAGCTCAGGCTCTAATCAGGGGTGGTTGAGAAGGAACTGAGGAGGAAATGCCTACTCACACTGGCTAGCCTCATGGCAGGCGGGAGCCATGAGTTCGAGGGAGGGACAGACTGCTATTGAAATTCTCTGATCCGCAGTGTGGGGGGCGCACACACCTACAGTGGAGCACCCATCGGGACACTACTCCAAAAAAACAAAAAAAAACAAAAAAAAAACACACACTTATTTTATTGAGGTAGTGCACAACAGCACCAGTTAGGAGCAGGGTATTATTGTGCTGGTATATATGTACATATTGCATCAGTCTCAAAAATCTTGTAAAGATAAAACTTGGCTTTTGATTTTGCCATTATGTTGTTTAACCCCAGTCTGAGCAGATCTAGGACACTGTAGATCTGTGCCCTGTTTGTGCCCTGTGTGAGCACTAGTGCTTACACAATTGCTACCACTGGTGAATTGTACCAGTGGAGATTCTTTAAAATATTAGTATAGACATTGTTACAGAATGCATAAACTGTTTTAGCAACTTTCTAACCTGAACATTGCTATCACTTAAAAGATGCCAATGTGGTTTACTCAGCCACCGTATACAAGCCGTCCATATCTGCTTCCCCACTTCATCCAAGACCTCATTTTCTATTGCTTTTTCTCTCCGTGAGCATCTTATCACAGAGTAACAAAACTAATATCAAGCTGCATACAAATCTGTGGTACCAAGAGCACTGAGTAACCTACAGTGTAGAAGACACTGTGCTGACACCAAAGAATAAGTATCAGCCCCACAGACTTTACTTTGTTTAGGCCTCCTTCAGTGCTTAAATATCAAAATGAAAGGGCTCTCAGAGGGCACTAGCAGTAACCTGTGTACACAAGAGCACTGGATGCTTGTTGACAGAGAGAGAGAGATGAAGGCTATAATACAGCAAGTATATTATAAGTGAATTAACACTTTTCTGGAGAAGTTCCAAATTCCTTGAACTCCATACTTGACCCCTCAGTAAGCAGGAAAAATAGTTGGTACAGGAAGAACGAAGAAATAGTAACAGAATTTAAAACATTTATTTTCGGGATGTTCTGTACTTGCATTAAGGATAGTACTTATTATAGCTACAGAAATAAATTTCTCCAGCAAGACAAAGTAATGAAAGATTTAATACCCAATATTTTCTAAGGGTGTTGCCCATTTACCACTGACAATTCCACTGACGCCCATTTAATATTTTACCACATTAAACTATAGGAATTTACTCATCTCCCTAATCCACTGTAGTTGATCAGAGTCTGCAGGTTCACCTGAGTTTAAAGTAAAAACAGCTGGCATCCAAAGAAACTCTTGCTGCTGAGTTTTTACACTTGCAGAAAGCAGGCCTTCTGTAAATTGTGCATTGAACAGGTCATACTGGTAGTTATTTACAGATATTTTCTCCTCTCCCACATTAAGGAAGCTGCTTGTCAGAAGAAAACCCTCTTGAAGATTTTTCAATGTCAAAGTAAAACATATGTAGCTTCTCTCCCCATTCCACCTTTTAAAATAATTTATTTGCTTTCAGATATTTAAGTAGTTTGAAAAAAAGAAACCTAGCCATGTATATTGAGATGCAGCATACCTCCATCTAGATGTGAAGATTTAGTCAGCTGCTATTTACTTACAGCTGACAATATGTTATATAAAAAAAAAAGATAAAGCTTTAAAGGTAATCCCTGTGATTTTGCAGTTTTCAAAATTCGCTTCAATCCCGTCCCCTCTTCCACAAGGAAGGAAAACCTGCTCCAAGATATAGGACTATACTCAGTGTTGTGAGGGGGACTGCTCTATCCCTGCTCAGCCCTTTTGTCTTTGGCCTACCACAGCATTGCTGTGGTCACTGAACATTACTGTCCCTATTGAAGGATAGAAGTCTTGCTCCACATTGGCCTGAACTCTGCCCCGTTAAATTTTTTTGCCAACTAAGCCAAACACAGAGGAAAGGAAAAGAGCAACTTGAAATCTGTTTCCTCCACAAAGGGTGGTGGCGAGTCAGCTACTCTAGCAGTTCTGCAAAGGCAGTGAAGTAGTAACAGGTGACCCATTCTGGGAAAATGCTACTACTTTCACCTTTATAAGGATCTAAAAGCACCTTGCAAACATTTATTAAGCCTCATAATGCCTTATGAGATGGGCAAGTATTATTCCCGTTTTGCGATGAAGAAAGAATCAGATGTTAAACAATTTTCTAAAGGTCATAGACAGAGTCTGTGGCAGAGGTAAAAAACAGAACCCTGACATCCAAGCTAGCCTAGAGGACTCAATCTAATAAATTATTTCAACACTAAGGCTGTTTTCTTAACCAAAAAAGGTGCAATTTCCAGAAATGTTTTAAATATATGTATTATGGCAGTTGTAAAGAAAGATTTCGTTTAAAAAAAATAAAGGAAATTGCTTAGTGCTGCTGTTCATTGCTCTCCATATACGTGCATGTTAACGAGAGCCGTGCAGTGAAGGGAAACTTCTCATGCTGTAAAGTTATATTAAGATTTTAAAAACCACTTACTCTCTAGTTCTTCTTTCTCAAAGTTTGTGTTGACAGTAGAGCTAGTTTTGCCCATATCCACAACAGCTTCTTCATCGTGACCCTAAAGAAACAAAAACACAATATGGATATGATTCACTTTCGATAACCCAACCAGAAATCCAAACTCATTTCTATCATAACAGGTTACACTCATACATACAATTTATAAAGACAGCTGATATCAAATTCCTGCTTCAGAAGTTGTTTTACATCCATTTTCTGATATAATAATAAAATAAAAGTCCAACTCTTGGAGGAGGAAGAGGAGTTATATGTAGAAATATCTTTTCATTTTCTGTGAAAAAAATCCTTTTACTACTGAAGGAAATTATTCTGCTTGTAGGAAGTATCACTATGATGAAAACTAGGAATCCTATTCATCATTAAAACAACTGAAGTTATCTAGTAGTAAAGGGGAGCTTACAAAACATTTAATTTAGACTGAGAGGACCCATACCCTGTACCTTTTGTACATATACATTTATCCTTTGGCTGAATGCGTTTCTCATGACAAAACAAAAATGGATCCAGCTGTCCTGACAACAGCACAAAAAACTTTAGAGCTCAGTATTGGCGAACGCCACATTAAATTAAATAGGATAGATTAGGGATGCAGCACAGGTGACTTATTTGTATTATAGTAGCTCCTAGGAGCTCCACTCCGTGACCAGAAGGCCATTGCACTACGTGCTGTACAAACACAAAACAAGATGACAGTCATTGGTACGAAGAATTTACAATCTAAGTAGAAAACAAGAAGAGTTATATACGGATAGATGGGGGCAGTACAAGGAAACAATGAGATTGTAGTGATCAACATACTAGGCAGTGGGCTCAGCACACCAACAGACTAACCGTTGTCAAGTTTTCTGTAAGTATCATAACCAAGGAGAGTTTTAAGGAGGGATTTGAAGGTAGATAATGAGGTAGCTTTGCAGATGTTTATGGGGAGCTTCTCGTAAGCATGAAGGAGAATATATAAAGGTGCTTGTTAAAATTTCAAACAAGTGAGTGATGACAGCTGACATGTGGCTAATCAGAGGCAGGAGTCGGCCTTTTCCTGTTGAACAAAAGACAGGTAGAGGAGGTATAGGGTGTTAAGGCCTTAAATGGGAAGGCCAATAGCTTATGATTCCAGGTCACAGTGCCTCTAAAATGCATTGCAATATTGTTGAGCTGGCAGGCAGAAATATCAGACTGTCTTCATAAAATGCTAGGCCAAAAAGCTTAAAATAGTTCAGAAAGAGTTTAAATTCTCCAGACAATTGGGCGGTGGAGCTGGGAGAGAGGTAACATGGGAAGTGTTCAAATTCACAGAATAACTGGATTTTTTTCAAGGTTCTAGATTGCTGCTCCTCAAGAAATAAACATTAAAGTTTAAGGATAAAAGATACTGACAAGAAGTTTACATTCAACAGTGGAAGAAGCCCACCTAAATAAGATAACCTGTGCTGGTTTATTAAAAGACTTAGCCCTGGTCTACACTACAGGGTAAGGTCGAATTTAGCCGTGTTAAATCAATTTTATAATGAACGTGTCTACACAACCAACCCCATTCAGTCGACCTAAAGGACTCTTAAAATCTACTTCTGTACTCCTCCCCGGCGAGGGGAGTGGCACTAAAATTGACCTTGCTGGGTCGAATTTGGGGTAGTGCGGATGCAAATTGACGTTATTGGCCTCCGTGAGCTATCCCAGAGTGCTCCAATGTGACCGCTCTGGACAGCACTTTCAACTCCGATGCACTAGCCAGGTACACAGGAAAAGCCCTGGGAAATTTTGAATTTCATTTCCTGTTTGGTCAGCGTGGAGAATTCAGCAGCACAGGTGACCAGGCAGTCCCCCTAGAATCGCAAGAGAGCTCAAGCATGGAGCAAACAGGAGACAATGGATCAGATTCCTGTATGGAGAGAAGAAGCTGTGCAGGCAGAACTCCAATCAAAGAAGAAATGCTAATATATATACCAAAATCGCACAGGGCACGATGAACAGAGGTTACAACAGGGACACACAGCAGTGCCGCGTGAAAGTCAAGGAGCTCAGGCAAGCCTACCAAAAGACAAAGGAGGCAAACGGTCGCTCTGGGTCAGAGCCACATACATGCCGCTTCTATGATCAGCTGCATGGCATTCTAGGGGGGACCCCTACCACTACCGCACCACTGTCCGTGGACACCTGCAAGGGGGGAGTCTCACGCAGCACAGAGGAGGATTTTGTGGATGAGGAAAAGGAGAAGGAAAAGGCTTCTCCATGATGGTGGAGTGTGCAGTAATTGGAGGAGCAGGCACCTTCGCCAGGTTATAGCACTCCCTGATGCAGGACGTGATCCATGATGAAATTCACTTTGAAGAGGCAGGAAGACCTTTCATCCTGTCCACCACAAATAACTGGACCGACTCTTAGAATGGCTTCGTTCCCTCAGTGTAGAAGGCCAGTGTTCTGCAGACATCCAATGAGTGAATCCCTTTGCTCCCTGCCACTCCAAGGAGACTTAGGATGGAATACTGGGAGGAAGATGTCCTGGTTAATGTGAAACTGGGAGACCACCTTCAGGACAAAAGCCAGGTGGGGTATGAGCCGAAACTTGCCCTTACAGAACACAGTGTAAGGGGGCTCTGATGTCAGGGCCTTGAGCTCAGATACCCTCTGGCCGAGGTTATCGCTACCAGAAACACTACTTTGTATGAGAGATAGAGCAGGGAGCATGTTGCCAAAGGTTCAGAGGGTGGACCCATGAGTCTGGAAAGGACCATACTGAGGTCCAGTCCGGGACCAGGTGCCAGACCTGCAGGTATAGTCTGTCGCGACCGTTAAGGAAGTGACTGAGCATAAGGTTAGCAAAAACTGAGTGGCCTTCTGCTCCTAGGTGAAAGGCAGAGATGGCAGCCAAATGAACCCTTACTGACTACATGGACAGCCCCTGCTGCTTGAGATGGAGGAGATAGTCCAATATAAGTGGCACGAAGGTGAGTGTCGGGGGCAAACAGTGCTGCGCCAACCAGACTGAAAATCTCTTCCACTTGGCAAGGTAGGTAGCCTTGGTGGAAGGCTGCCTACTGCCAAGGAGGACTTGTCTAACCAGTTCTGAGCAAGAAAGCTCCATCAGATTCAGCCACAGAGCTTCCAGGCTGTGAGGTACAGCAACTTGAGGTTTGGGTGTTGGAGACTAAGTCCAGGAAGAGCGGCAAGGTGACTGGAGCTTCCACAGACATTTCCAGGAGCGATATGTGCTGGAGCTATCAATATCACCAAAGCTCATCCCTCCGAATCTTGAGTACATTGTAAATAAGCGGAATGGGCAGAAACGCATAAAAGAGATGGTCTCCCAATGGGAGGAAGAATGCATCCATGATGGAACCCAGACTGTGATTGAGGAAGGAGCAAAACTGTTCGCAACGCAACAGGAAGTGTCAACAGGTCTATCTGGGGAAAGCCCCACTGATGGAAGATTGAGTTCGCTGCATCCGGGCGAAGGGACCACTTGTGGCTGTGGAATGACCTGCTGAGACAGTCCGCCAATTCGTTCTGTACTCTGGGGAGGTATGATACTTGCAGATATATCAAGTGTTCTACACAAAAGTCCCACAACATGAGCGCTTCCTGGCACAGGGGAGAGGAATGTGCACCCACATTTGTTGATACAGAAAACATCTCCTTATCAAGTGGCTTGGAAAGCCTGGCACGCCAGATGTACCACTCTCAGCTCCCAAATATGCTCCCCCTCAGCCCAGAGCTGACATATCTGTCACTAGCAAGAGGGACAGCTGAGGGCTGGTGAAGGGAACCCCTGCACATACTATTTGTGCGTCGAGCCATCACTGGAGGGAGTCAAGTACCCTGTGAGGCAGGACTGGCCAATACACTAACACTAGCCACAACTGAAGACGTCGAAGTCCGAGTCTGGCATGCTGTACTACGTAGGTACAAGCCGCCATGTGTCCCATGAGTTTCAGGCAATTCCTTGCTGTGGTGCTGAACTGCCTGAGACCACATACATCGCTGCTGCTGAGGGACCAAAACCTTGCTTCCAGGAGGTATGCCCTGGCTTGTGTCAAGTCCAGTACTACCCCTATAAAGTCTATCCTCTGAACCAGGGACAGCATTGATTTCCCCTCGTTCAGAAGATGCCCAGTTCGTTGAAGGTTGCTCTTATGAAGTCAACTTGTGCCTCCACTTGAGACCTGGAGCAGCCCTTGATGAGCCAGTCGTCAAGGTACAAGAACACCTGTACCTGCCATCTGCGCAGGAATGCAGCCATGACTGCCATGCACTTGGTAAAAACACGTTGCACTGCTGACAGGCCAAAAGGGAGGACTATGAACTGGTAGTGGGTGTTCACCACAAACCTGAGGTATTTTCTGTGGGACAGTTATTGCTATGTGAAAGTACGCATCCCTCAAGTCGAGTACAGCATACTAGTCTCCTGGATCTGATGAAGGGATGATGGAGGCCAAAGAGACCATGAGCTTCTAGAAACCCTTGCCCTTCTGCTCCTGAGGAACCTATTCCACTGCCCCTAGCGAAAGGAGTGAGTGCACCTCCTGTATCAGGAGTTGCTCTTGAGAGGGGTCCCTGAAGAGGGACGGGGCAGGACACAGAATTGGATGGAGTATCCCCTCTCTACTGTGAGGAGCACAGAGCGGTCCAAAGTGATACAGGACCATGCATGATAGAAAGGGGACAGTCGGGAGGAAAAGGAAAAGCGGGGTAGATCCAGTTTTTGTTCTGGTGCACCATCCTCTACTTCAAAAGGCTGGTTTGGGGCTGGAAGTTGGTTTAGGATGGCCAGAGTCCTGGCCTGAGGACAGGTACAGCCTTTTTCTGATGTTCCTATTCCTCCTCCAGGAGCTGTCCTGTCGGTAGAACCGCAAAAGGAGATTGAGGCCTAAAATGCTTCTGCTGCATGGCGGGAGTGTGTAGGCCCAAGGATTTGAGGGTGGCTCTAGAGTCTTTTAGGCTGTGTAGCCTTTTATCTGTCTTTTCTGACAACAGAATCATATAGTCAAAGGGGAAGTACTGTATGGTCTGCTGGAACTGGAGCCCCTTTTCATGGCCACCTCT